TCTCCAGATTTTATTATTGTAAAAAAATATATTATTTTGCTAAGTTTTTTATGAAATTTTTTTTTCCACCTATTAGTCTTTACAATGAGTTCATTATGAGTTTCTGCCGCTCGTTTTTTTTTAAGATTCACAAGCCTAACTTTATTTTTCTTTTGTGAAACTGTCTGTCAAAGTTTTCGTTTCTCATTTTATATTTTTTGCTTATTATTGCTTATAATTATTATTATATAAATTTATATTAGTATTAATATATTAAAAAAGTTATTTTGCATTTTGTATTTTTATGTTTATTTATAGTTTTGTTTATTTATTTTGTATTGTTTCAAAATTATGTAATAATCGAATTATAATTTAATTATTTATAATTTGATAATAATCGAATCATAACAGAATTGAAACTTTCGTGCGTATTTATGTTATTGCTTATGCTCAAACAACAAGCAGTAAGTAAATTGAGAAATATTTAAAAATGGAAAAAGGTACCGAAATTTTAAACGGACACTTTTATTTTAAACCTCTTCAACAAGGAGTAGATAGAACTAAAGCTATTTGTAAAGACTGCAAAGCGGAATTTTCTTATCATCGGAATACTTCAAGTTTGAAGTATCACTTAAATGCAATGCACACCGTTGATGCTAACAAATCATCCACCCAAACAAACAGTGGAGGAAACCTTTGGCAGACTACGTTAGATGCAGCACGAGGGAGAACTACAGAGAAACAAAAGAAAGACAAGATAACAAATGCTATTGCAAAATGGGTAGCTACAAATTGCAGGCCAACTAGTATTGTGGAAGATGTCGGTTTGAAGAATGTTATTCGGATCGCAACGAATGACTGCACGTATGAGCCTCCGCCAAGACGCACCATTGTAAGAAAAATACATGAACTGTATGAAAACGAGAGGACTATAAAGGCAACGGCATTACAACGTGCACAAACTGTTGCCCTCACCGGAGACTACTGGACATCGCTGGGTAACCATAATTATCTCGGAGTAACTGTGCATTACATTGATGAACAATGGTAACTGCATTCACATGCTTTGACAGTAATGAAGACACAAGAAAGACATTTTGCTGAAACGTGCGCAGAACATTTCATTCATGTTGCACAGCAGTGGGACATTTTAAATAAAGTCAGCACACTTAGCACAGATTGTGCTAGAAATATTGTCGCTGCTGCAAGACATCTGCCTTTTGAACGCGTCCCTTGTGTTGCTCACAGTCTTCAGCGTTCTGTCACAGTATCTTTGCACAACAGCGCGTTTGACAATGCCCTGGCTTAAAGCAGAAAGGTGGTGGGCCATTTTAAACACAGTCCAGCAAGTGCTGCAGAATTAGAAAAAAAACAAATTGAGCTTGGACAAAAGAAGGAGTCGCTTATACAAGACATTCCAACCAGATGGAACTCGACTCTGGACATGATAAAAATTGTTCGCAGAAACGAACAGCCAGTGAGCGATGTCCTCACCACACACAACACAAAAGTTGCTATGCCAACTCCAGCTGAAATGGACAAATTGCAGAGGTTGGAAGAGCTCCTAGAACCCTGCAGGTATATTTTACATCATTTATTTCTTACTGACTGGTTTGATTGCATGTGAGAGAATGGATGTGTCTGTATTTGTGCGTAAGCATGAACATGAGAACACTTTTTGTGTGTGTAAGTGAATGCAAAACATTTGAGTGAAATGGGTTTTATTTTTTGCAGGTATGTGACTGAACTTCTGGGTGGAGAAAAGTACGTTTCATGCTCTGTGGTTCTGCCTGCTTTATGCCATCTCTCTCGGGTGATGGAGAGCTCAGATGATGACCCGGCCTATGTAGTCAAATTCAAATCTATATTCAGAATAGATCTGGAAACACGCAAGGAAAATGCCAAAATAGCATATCTAAAGATTGCAACCGCATAGGACCCGAGATTCAAAGACCTCAAGTGTATACCCAGAGTTGAGAGAGGTGAGGTGTGGGTCTCAATCACTAACTTACTCAAGGAACAGAGGGTTATTGCAGATGAACCTGTGGAAGCATGCTTCCACAGGTTCATCTGCTGCTGTTGCTGCAGCAACATCAAAGCCATCAAAGAGAAAATTTGCTCTATTGGTTGCTTCATCAGAGTTTGATTCTGAACAAGAAGAAGACTCAATTGAAAACGGTGTGCGTCGGTACAAAGCAGAGCCCATCATCAGTACAGAGGCCTGTCCATTACAGTGGTGGTCCAAACATGCAGGCTCACACAACAGGCTGGCCTCAATTGCACAGAAGTACTTGGCAACACCTGCAACATCTGTTCCTTGTGAAAGATTGTTTTCTCTAGCTGGTCATATTGTACAAAAGAAGAGAGTTTCTTTATCATCTGAAAATGTGAATTACCTTGTTTGTCTTAGTAACTGGCTTTGTGCAGATGAGTAAGTAAAGTAGGAAGAATTGATAAAATTGTTTAAAGTTTTGACAAACCAAAAGTTATGTTAATTTAACTATGAAAAAATAAATTTACGCTATATATATACTACTTGTAGTTTTATTATTGAATTTTTCGTATTTCTGCGATTTATCGCGATTAATCGCAAAAAATCATGCGATTAATCGCGATTAAAATATTTAATCGTTGCCCAGCACTAATATATATATATATATATATATATATATAATATATATATATATATATATATATATATATATATATATATATATATATATATATATATATATATATTAGTGCTGGGCAACGATTAAATATTTTAATCGCGATTAATCGCATGATTTTTTGCGATTAATCGCGATTAATCGCAGAAATACGAAAAATTCAATAATAAAACTACAAGTAGTATATATATAGCGTAAATTTATTTTTTCATAGTTAAATTAACATAACTTTTGGTTTATATATATATATATATATATATATATATATATATATATATATATATATATATATATATATATATATATATATATATATATATATATATATATATATATATATATATATATATATATATATATATATATATATATATATATATATATATATATATATATATATATATATATATATATATATATATATATATATATATATATATATATATATATATATATATATATATATATATATATATATATATATATATATATATATATATATATATATGTATATATATATTATCCAATACCATAATGGATTTTGGAAATGTTTCTTTGTATTATATTTCAGTAGTGGTGTAGTGGTAAAACACTCGCTCAATAAGCCAGAGGTTCCGAGTTCGATCCCCACCACGTACTACGTTTTTCATCAGTTGTAATAACTTTTTTCCAGTTTATCTTAATAAATCCATAAATTTTTTTTTGATTTTGTAAACCTTCTCTTCTTTGATAGCTTAAGGTGATAATGCACGTAAACACACTATTAAAACTTTTTTTAAAAGCGAACATTTTGTTAATGTAACATTTAATTGACTTTCTTGATATCTTAAACTTTTCTAGATAACTCAGAAATAATTGGTGGTTTGTCTTTATATTTATAAGTTTTTTATCTGAAAAAGTTAACTTAAATTTAGCTTTAATGGTTAATGCCAAATCATTTAAATCATTTTTTCTTTCGCCACGTTTTCTCTCACCACGTTTGTTTAACTCTACTAATGGGGGTTATTAAAACTTTGATTGATTCCTTTTTTAAAAAATTTTTAATCGTTCTATATGAATTTCTAAGTTGTAGCAACAATAAAATATGTTCTTTAATATTTTTTTAATTTTTTTTTGTCAAAATGCTTGGTTTACATAAATCTCTTTTTTTTCGCTAACTAATTTAAATATGTGACTAAATTATAAATACTATCGTTAATAATTGTTCAAACAAAAAGTAATCAAGTTTCAAAAGATGACAGTGGACCAGATTGGTAAAAATTATTTCATTTAGATTTTTAATTTTCTGTTATATTATAGTTATGTTTTCTAATTTTTTTTAGCTTGCTAAAGGTTAAACCTAAGTAAGTATCTTATTAATAAATTTTAAATTTGATTTTTGAAATGGTTTTATATTAAATAAAAATAATAATTTGATAAGTTTTGAAAAATTTAGATTTTATTGTTAAATTTTTGAGATATTTTGTTAGTAAATTGAGTAATTAATTATTGTAATTTGATTTTAAATAAGTTGTAAAGGTTTTTATTTATTTAACAAAAATGGCGCCAACAATGGCATTAACAGGAAATTTGGTTATCGCTATTACAATGAAAAACAAATTGAGATTGGTTATATTCCACTTCAAAACCTCTATATGTATCATACTACAATTAAAGTTTTTGTTTCTTGTAGCTATTTATTTATTGCTCAAAAGAGTTTTTAACTTTATCCAGAGTTTGTTGCTTTATCCAGAGTTTGTTGCTTGGACTTAGTTAAATCACTCATATTGAGTAACAACTTTAAGGTAACCATTGCACATAATGAACGTTTTTTATAATTTATTACTTTGTTAAATATTAAAATCATTTTTTACTCAAAAACTTTATTTTTTTGTTTTTTTTAAGATTTAGAGTTGACTCAAAATGGAAAAGAAAGGAAAGATTGTATTTTTGTGTATTTCACTAATCAATATATATTTTTTTTAATTGCAATAATATTGCAATTTTATTGGCCAATATTGCCAATAACTTGCAATGGATTGGCAATATATTGGGCAATAATATTGCAATATTGACAATAAAATTGTAATAATATTGGCCAATATCTTGGGCAATAATCTCGCAATAAAATTGCAATTATATTGGGCAATAATCTCGCAATATTGACAATAAAACTCTTTGCAATTTTATTATCGTCTAGCAGCAGCGCTGAAAGTTGACATTTGAAAGAAACATTTATGTACACTTTCAATTCATACTAAATTCGAATTTTAAAAATTAAATAAACAACTAAATTTAGAATAAATAAGATGGTGTATTTATTTAACACACAAAACATACAAAACACATCATTACAGATAGAATGGGGGGGGGGGGGGGGATAAGCAAAAAACGCTGACAACCCCACACCACAAGAAAAATGTCACTCATTTGTTTAGTCTTCAAACTTTTGTACTACTTTTATTGTCTCGGAAAAATTGATTAATACTCGCCCGAACAACACGCCAGTTGTAAGACGTAAACACTTTGTCAAGTGCACCTTTAACTTCCTGAATTTCTTCATTCTCCATATGAATGCGTGCAGTAGGTCCGTTTGGTTCACAAATACGCGTGCAAGTAAACTCCTTTCCGAATCGCAACAAAATAAATTTTCTTGCAAAGCTACATGGTTCTCGTTTTTGAATGTCGTGCAATTTAAATTCGGCATCAAAACCAGTATACACGGCCTAAAAAGTATAATACAGATAAGTTCGGATTTAGTAAACATTTTTCAATGGATGGTCAAATTATGCAACCTTTTGTATATAAATGTACCTTTCCTTTAGCAATCAATATTTCTTTTATTCAATTTGGTAAATACTAGCAAGTTGTGCTCTCATTGGATAAGCTTTTTTTAATTAAATTACAAAAATTAAATTGACTTACATTATCATTATTTACAGATTCTTTTTCTATTGGGCGCAAAATTTCAGACAACAGTTTGTTGGTCTTCTTTTGTTCAAAAAGAAGTTTCTTTTGTTCAATCAAAATTGCTAATGTTAAAAAAAATATATAGCACTTCTATGTACAAGTACAATATGGTAGAACTTAGGCAAACACAGTATTCATACTATAGGACTGTAACTAACCTTCTAAACAAGATAGTTTGCTTAACTTCGGTGAACCACAGTGTTTTGTTTTAGGAACATCACTAATTATTGGAAGCATCAATGCTCTGGGAGCATCAACATTGTCAAGTAGCATGTCAAGCTTCCGCTTTTCCAAAGCCATAATCTGTGCTTCACTTTTTTTAGATCCTTTTTGACTGTTATAAAATGATGCAAAGGACTCTGATTCTATAAATGAAAAAGACAATAAAAATATGTTCAAGAAATTACATAAACAAAATTGTAATATTATTAAAATTACCTGAATTTTCATTCAACACTTCATTTACATGTTTTTTTTTCAGCACCTTTGATTTAGGAGTCGATTTATATTTAGTTTCGCTTAGGCCTGTATGTTCTGAGACCGGTGCAATATTCTCTGAATCTATAAAAAAAAACATGAACAAGTTGTGGTTACAAACATATAATCATGGGTGTACTAGGGGCTAGGCTACTAGTGGATCCAATAGATCCCCACCTACCATCGGATAGTGCAACTTTAACTTGTGTTGATAATTTTTGTGTCATTTTTTATTATTTAGCAAAAATGTTTAATTAATTATTACTTGTGTAGCAGACATAATAACTAAACTCTGTCTGGTAACAAAGGTAACCTCCTTTTTTTTGACCCAGGGTGCTATTGCACTCCGGCACCATGGTCCAGTTCACCACTACACAGAAGAGTAAATTTTAAATAAAATTACTATAATATGGTCTTGTCATTGTCACATATTTATATTACATAAGTTACCTGAGGATTGGTCTCCATCAGAATGTTTTCTTTTTCCGTTAGTATTGCCTTCAATATAATTGAGGGCAAACTTGCTTACTTCATCAGTGCTAGAATTTTCATCACCAAAATCGTCCATGAAGTTATCTAGCAATGTTTCAAATTTACAGCATTGGGTAATAGACCCCTTATAGATGATGACAGCTGCGTGTTGTATATTTGCAATAGAAACATGCACTACATTTTTCTAATAAGTAAAAAACATTAAATTTAATTATCAACACACCATAAATAGTATAATAAAAGCAGGGGCTTCCATTTTTCAACATCCCTAAAAAGTGGGCATCTAAAATACTTCTTCCATTTTAGGGTGGGCTTCTATATATTCAGCTATGTAAAAAAACAAAATAAACATTTTTATCTTATTCGTGGGCATCTAAAATACTTGCTTCTATTTTAAGGTGGGCTTCTATATAATCAGCTAATAGCTGATAGCTGATATATTCAGCTAATAGCTGGTATGTAAAAAAACAAAATAAAATTTATCTTCTTTGTCAATTATAGGGAGGGGGGATAAAATTTAAGGGTGGACTTTAATTATATTATGTATGGTAAATGCTGTCAGTTTTTTTTAACACACTTACCACTTGAAATTCAAGGCATTCAACGGATGAATAATGCTTAAAAAGTGTATTTGAAAGTGATATGGGAGAGGTATGCCGCTCATCTTTTTCACAATCCTTGTACCATAAAAGAACAAACGTAGAAGAAAGCTTTTGAGTGTCTACAAAATCTAATTTCTTTGTTCTATTTCTATCAGGGTAAGTCATTATTTAATAAAATATAAACCTGTAAAAAAATTCAATCAAATTATCAAATTAATTTATTTCAAATTATCAAAATATTAAAAACAAAAATGTTTGTTAGTATAAAAAAACACACATGCATGATGTGAAGCATATTTATTAATTACAAAATTTACATTTAGCCACCCTAAGCATATTCGAAAAGTTCTTTCAATGGTGTCAAAATTAATACATCTTTTGTATCTAATTTATATTTTAATTAATATACATTTGCAGACTAAAGTGTCAGCTGAAATAACAACAATGTTTTTGTTTGTTCAACAATAAAAAAAAAGTCATCATCAAAGTTAATTTCCAAATTTCCAATCATATCACCAAAAGTAGAAACTAACTTACACTTCACATTCAATAGTTGTAACTGAACATGTATTACATTGTCAACTAAAGGAAAATCTAATATGATACCAAACTTATTATGTCCAAATTGACAAGTGTAGCTGTTATGTTTGCCATAACCTTTTGAATGGTAAACAATACCATGTTTCAACAATCTGCCCGGATTTAACAACTGCAATTCTTCTTGTTCAATAATGCCAATATTTAATGCTTTACAAACTTCAACTTTTTTAGGATGATCTGTTGTTTGCAAAAAACAAGAAGCTGTTTTGAAGTCAAGAAATTTTTGTACAATCTGTTGTGGATGACCATGTGTTCCCTTCATCATTTTTTTATAATTACTTAGCCGAGCTTCAAAACAAAACATTGAGTAATTTGTAACACTTCCATGCATTTTAATAATATCGCTAACATGACCAAGCAAATGAACATTTATAGTATTCATATATAAAGGAAGCAACTCAGACGATGATTTTTGATAAAAGTTAAACAGCTGACTAATAAGCAACACCTTATCTAAACATATTTCACTGCTACACAAACGCATACCAATTACTAGAGAATAAATCATCATCATGCAGTCAGGATTCAAATATGGTAAAAAATATGGAACTGCTAAGTATAAAATAAAGTTTTTAAAGTCATGGCCTTTCCAATGTGTGAATGATTTAATAGTTAATGGCTTGGGCATGTTATGTGGCATTTTTTGATCAGCAAGTAAGATTTCCATAGCATTTAATTTTGCACTACCAATAAAAAATGATTCGTGTTTATAGGTAACAGAAAATAAACAAACTAAAAGCTTTTTTGAGCAATTTTCGTAAAACAAATGTAAACATCAATAAGTATCATATCTGGCACTTTAATAAATGAAATGTCACTAAAGATGTTTGAGCCTTTAATTCCAAATACAGATACTTTTGATTTTTCGGCTAATCTAGCATATATGGCATACATTTCAGATGTTTTAAGATTATAATTTGTATCTGAATGTGAATAAATTCTAGCGGAACCATGTTTTCTTTCAATTGTTCTACCAGGATGTTCGCAATAGTGACATCCAAATTCACCATTATACTGCTTATGATTGATGATTGAAGCCACTGCAGGCAAATCGAAAACAAAACCAACAATATGAAAAACTACTACTTGGATATTGTTAATTTCATGGGGTGTTTCAAACAGTTTTCCATTGATGTACTCCTAAAAAAAAGTTAGTAATATAGTAACGTTGCCCAATTTATTCTTGTCACGGCTGGAACAGTGAATTCTACTACTATAGGTAATTCCATTGACAACTACTTTTAAAATAAAAAATAACAATCAATAATTTAATTACCTTTAAATAAGCATTCCAATTAGGTTTTAATAATGAGAACCATAAACCAAGAAGTAGTGTATTTTCAAATAGGAATCGTTTATAAGATGGTAAATCTAAAATAATAGCATGAAATGGCCACATTGTAATCTTTTTTTTTGTGTATGGTTCTCCACCATCTGTTGACATCAATAAATGAATATGTAAAACATTTGCAGACTTCATATTTTCAACAAAATTTGGTCTAGAAATAAAATCACTCTTTCTTTTACCTGACATAATTTCCAATTGATATGATTTAATTGCATCCAAATTCAAAAATAAAACAAGTTTCATTTGGCTAATGATATCCAATATAAAGATATGGGATGAACAATGAGTATTGATTTTACACGTGTCAACTAAAGCTGTGCAGCAATTATGACAATAATATTTATGCGTTGGTTCAGTATGGGAGAATATATTTTTAGTAACAAATCTACGAATCATTTTATGAGATGACGGCATGTCATTTATACAGCGAAAAATCTATTAAAAAAATTTAAAAATTAAAAATATATTTTTTCAAGCTTTATCAACCAAACTAAGCCTGGGCCAGACCCCAGCCTCAAGTTGAAATAAAAATATGACATACTTCATTATTTTTATAATTTAATAATTTGTAAAAAAAATAATTTGTAAAAACTATAGAAATAAAATATATAATATATAATTGTAAAATATTATATAATATATAATTTGTAAAAAAAGTCGGATAAAATTTTCACAAGTAAAATGTTTTATAATTAGGAACGTTCTGCATTACTTTATCAGACTTTTTTTACGAATTATTGGCAATGTGCACCATTTCTGGTAGCAGCCAGAGATAAATAGCCAGATCAACATTTATTGCTAAGGACTAAGTTGATTGATAATTTTATTAGCTTCACAATATTCATTTACAAGTACATTGCACAATTTAAACTACATCTAACATACCAGCAAAGTCTTCAAAAATCTATCAAATGCGATTTCAATAAATGAATTGCTAATCATTAAATACAACAAGGTTAAAAACATAAACTTTTTGTTAACAATTGAATCCAATAAAGAACATTCAAATGGATTAGAACTAAAGAACTGAAACATGGAAGCACTCGATTCTTCCTCAGATACTAGAATTTGATTTTCTTCCTCAGATACTATAGATACAATTTCTTCTGTCTCTTGGGTAAAACTACCATCATTAACATTATCATCTGTATTGCTACAGTCGGACTGAGAACTACTATTAGTAATTTCCTCTTCAGAAGAAGTAGACTCAGCCGTAAAATGTAAAGTTCTTCTCTCGTACTTTCTATCAAAAAAATTTCGTTTCATTGCACATATATTCACCATTAATAAAATTTTATGAGTCTTTACTTATAAATAACTATGTTATTTTTGCACGGGTATCTTGTGTGGCCAGACAGGTTTGCTGGGCTCATGCAAGCCATGTCTAACGTGCGCCGAAGAAACCTGCCTGGCCGCACTTACACTGCAGTATAAAGTCCAATGAAAGCATGCTTGTAACTTCAGTTACAATCATAAAATCGATAACTTATATTAGTTGCAATAATATTGCAATAATATTACAATTATATTGCAATTATATTGCAATTATATTGTAATATTTTAACAACAATCTTGCTACTGCTTATAAACCCATTAAATTTATGTAAAACAAAAAAATGACACAGGCAATTAGATAAGCATCAGAATTATTTATATTTAAATGCATCTAAACTACATTTACAAACACATTACATTTGTATAATTTTATTGATATTTTATTGGACAATTAATTGAGCAATATATAGCAATTTAAATTGAACGCGCAATAATATTGCAATATGTTGTAATAAACCGCAATATATGTCGATTAGTGTTGGATTGATTTTGATTTACTTATATTTATATTTGTCATTTAACCAATATATATTACTTAAAGATGAGTTTTTAAGTATATTTAAATTGTAAATGAATATAGGAATATGTAATATAATTATATTATTATGTGTTTGTATATAATTTATCAAAATTGTTAACAATTTTTTAGATAGTGTTTATTACTTTACTAATTTTTTATTTATTTGTGTATTTGCTGTTAAATTGAAATGTAAATCACAGACATTTTAATATTTTTTATGTACATCAAAGAAAGTTTCTTTTCAGAAAATATTTTCAAAAACATGCCATTGAATTTATATATATAAGATTTGCTAGAAATAATTTATTTAAATTTTACTTTTATTTACCGAAACTATCCGGCAGCTGAGTTGCCTTTCCGTTGTTTAACGGAAAAAAGTTATTTAATTTATACGGAAGTATCCGTTTATTTACGAAAAGGTTCCGGCAGCTGCCGATGACCAAACTACCAGTTGTTTAACGGATAAAACCAATCGAATTTTAACGGAAAAAATTCGTTTGTTTACGGAAACTTCCGTTTACATACGATGGATTTTTCCGTAAAATAACGGGTAGTTTGGTCATCGGCAGCTTCCGGAACTTTTCCGTAAAAAACGCGATATTTTTTTAACAGTGTACAGACGCTATAATATTTTAAAAGTGCCTTAACTACACCGAGTATAAAATAATTTTATTGCTTACAATATAATTACTAAAATTCTACTTCTTGTAATTAGCTCCTTTACTTTGATTAGTTTGACGTATGCCGAGGCATACGTCATGCCTGATTATCAAAATTAAAACGTATGTCTGCTTATTAAAACTAATGGGTACTTTTTTATATTTTATTTAAGTTTTATATTTAATTCTATTCCGTTCTTATATTCACTAAAACCTATCTTTACTATAACTTTTATTTAGCTTTTTCGCGCTTAAAACCTACGCTAGAAAAATTATTTCTAATCACCACTCAAAAACATAAATAAATAATGATTTTATAATTACAAAAGCAGATAACATGCAGAAAATCAATAGCAGCATGCTACAATAATTTTATGCATACTAAAATACTTTGAAAGCGCTGCAAAAGGTAAGAGCAGACAAATCAGAGATCATACCGTTTCTCGACTATGCTAGGGACAAATCAACTGGAATCAAAACTGTTGTTAATGAACTTAAAACTGATTTTAAAAGTCATTTTAATTAATACAAAAATAATGTTTGTCTGAAAATAGAAATATTTCTTAAACCCTGTTTCAAATGAAATTTTTTAAAGAAGCAGATCATAGAAAGTTTAAGAAAATTTTATATCAATAGTACTATCGCTTTTATTTAGACTATCGATACTCTAAATGAAAGCAGGAGTATCCTTGATATAAATTTTGCTTGCTTGTTGTAAGTTATGATTTACAACAAGCAAAAGAAGTTAATTTCTAGCGCAGTGGGCCTTGTTCGTCAAGGTTCGTGTTTCGGAGTTAAAGAGTTGAGAGAGGGTTATAGACACAAAATAAGTAGCCTCCTCGTCTGTAGTGGCCTTCTCGGCCTTGACGAGGTAAACTAAAATAAAAAAAAATATATAAAATAATGTATAGCTTCTTAGTCTAAATGGGTATAAATGAATATGCTTTACAGATATGTGAAAACACTGATGGAGGGGAAAAAAAAGTATAATAATAAAAATTCTAAAGGATAAACTCAAAATTTAAAAGGAAAATCAATCGAATAAAAAATATCTAAATAATCTTGTAATGTTTTTTTGTTTATTACAAATTTTATTAAAAATTGGTGTTAATTTTCAAATTAATGATTATGTTGCATTCAGCCCTGTTAAAAGAAATTTATTTACAGATTTTTTTGCACACCAGAATTGTTGTAAACAAAAATATGTTATATTTATATAATGGAAAGATTACTGCTAGCAGGCACAAAACATTTCCATTTAAAACATAATTATTTATCAACTATAAATGTTTATTTATAAGTTGATTTATAGTATTCTTTTTTCCTTACTTAATTAAAGATTTAAAATATTAGTTTAAACTTTAAATTGATTCATAGTTTTGATTTAACATGAACGAAGTCAACTTCAACTTAAGCCTCCAACATTACCAAAAATTAAATGCCCTTATAAGTGGTGGAGTGTTTACAATTACACCTGTTCCGATAAAAATACTAAAAAGATGGACTTGGTAAGGTTCTTAATGAAAATTTTGTGCGCACCTCCCAGCTAGCACAAAACGTTCAAAAACGTTGAGAACGTTCAAGAACGTTCTATGAACGTTCAAGAACGTTATATGAACGTTCAAGAACGTTCTATCAAAGTTCAAGAACGTTCTATCAACGTTCAAGAACGTTCTATGAATCTTCAAGAACGTTCTATGAACCTTCAAGAACGTTCATAAAACGTGCTTGAACGTTCGTCGAACGTTCTTAAACGTTTTGTATTAACTGGGCTCCTTCATCTGTTATGAGTGAACATCTGTTCATCACAACAGGAAATATATTTTTAACCAAAAGAAGGAGGCTGTTGCTTGAGCATGGAGAACAGAATACGCTTTTAAACTACATTTCACCTGATTTAAACGTAATAAACTAATAAGTATAATAAAAACAAATTCCTGTGTTTATTATTGTAATTTCTAAATGGTAATTTTATTATAATCCAAAGTGCAAAGTAATGTAAACTGAACATTGTTTATAATATAACTTTAAAGTTTAGACTTGATTAAGTTGACAAGAAGCCAAATTAGTTTTATAATTCGAAAACTAATTAGTAATAACTTGTTAGCTAGTCATCTTTATTTTCAAGTAACATTATATTTGTATAAGTAAGGGATTGCTACATCCTAAAAATCCTATGACATTGTGTAATTAAAAAAAAACCATGATGATTTGTTATGGCAAAATACTTTGTGCGCTAAAATTTTTTATTTGCAGTTTTTTTTACTTTTAATTGCAGTACATATATTTTACAATAAGCAGTACATATAATAACTGCAGTAAAATGTTATAAATTCTTTTTCAGCAAATAGTTTATTACTAGATAGTTAGATCTGCAAGGTATCAATTTTATCTAGGTAAGTGCAAAAGCCTCAGCTCCGGCCGAAGCTAATGCTTCGGCAAAATCTTAGCTCCGGTACATCTGAAGTATGTAGCTATTAAATGATTATTTTTAAACTTTTTTTTTATGGATTGTACAATTATTTTATTAATAAATGTTTAATTATGGTTGCGTTTTTGGTAAAAAATATTGTTTCTATTTTTTCTTTTTGTTTATAAACTGCCTTTATACGTATTTTAACAATACCAATATTGACTTCAACAACGGTAGCTATTAAGAACAGCAACTGCAATATCACAGTTACCAAAAACAGGTAAATTAATTTTCAATTAATATATCTGATGGGACTTTTCTTTTTTTTATTTACAAATCATAACTTAATACCTTTTTTTTGAAAACAATTAAAAATTCTTTTGTTTTGTTAAATTGTTAATGCGATAAAAAAATATCTTTTGTTTTACAAAATTATAAGTTTTTTTTTTCTAAGACCACAATCCGTATTGATTTTTTGGGTAATGACATGGAAAACATGTATTTTTTACTTTGCAACCTAATAAACATGCTTGTACGTTTGCACATAACTTAAAGCCAAATTCATGGCGAGAAAGAGTATCTCGTAGAACTTTTTTTATAAGGAAATGTTTATTCTTATGTAATTTAAAATTATAATAATGTTAAAGTTTATTTTAAGTTTTAGAGTTTTACTTTTCTTGACTTTTGCAATACATCATGTTCGCGTAAGAAAAATTGTTACTTTATAATTGTTATAGCTATGGACTTCAGTGAAAGCAGAAAAGCAAGGGAAAAAGTTGATGGGAAAAATATACTGCAGTAATTAAAAGAATAAAGTGAAAATTAAAATAACAATATTGTAAAACAACATCTGCCTCATTGTGTCTTGTCATGGTGCTTGTTGTGAATATTATTACTAGTTTTTTTTTTGTTGCATTTAAAAACTTTTTTCATGTGCCGTTTACGTTGCTTTATTTACCCATGTAAAAAAAAAAAAAATTAATGTAATATGATTTTAAAGCAATTAAAAAGTAAACTTCCGTTGTCATATAATTAAAAAAATGTTTTCATGCAATCAAAAACTGCTCTTATATATTTATATATACTACAGTTATAAAAATTTATACAATATATTTTATAAAAACTCAAAACAAAACAAAACAATCAACCTAAAAAATAACTGTTATATATTACTTTAAAAAACATTTATCGTTAAGACTTGCTTAAATTTTTTGTTAAACATTCCATTTGATTCTTTGGATCCAGAAACCGTCACCGAGTTTTCGGAAATATAGCCCGACTCCGTTTACTTTGGAAAATATATTTTTTTAAATTTTTAAAATTTAAAACATGAAGAGAAATAAAAATAAATTTTATTATTTCAATAACCAAATCATTATTTTAGAAAGGACCATCTAATGATAAAATAGATTCTTACCCATCCATTGGTTTGTTCCAAAAGTAATGGCTTGATCAAAATTTTCTTCCATAGTTTTTAGCCGTGTCCAATTGAGATTGCGAGAAATTTTTGTTTCAAACTCGCGATTTGTGACAGCTAGCCATTTTTTATATACATTATGA